TTTTATCCGAGTTGGAGCCCTCTATATGGTAATGTATGAGACCGTGTTTTCATTCTTATGACGATTAGTCGAGTATTCTCCATAATTTGACAATTTATGCTTCATGAAAATTGATAATACTAATATGTATATTATACTAACTGTAACACCTTTTTCTGCCCCACAATTAAAGGCACATTTATTCACATATATCATAATAAAATATTAAACTCAATAAATATCACCTCAAAGGGCGTACATTTTCCAATAAATCAAAATAGGTCAAGGTTGCGTAAACAACGGGTTTTCTCAAAAGACATCAAAAATTGCACAAAGGCAGTGAAACTCAAAAGGAATAATTCAAGGTTTTCCTTATACGGAAAGATAATCAAAATAACTCAAATAAAACATAGTTTAACTCAAAGACCCCAACCCGATGTTACACTATCAGAGCAAGATCCTCTAAGTTAACCAAAAGGCTAACAACTCAAAAACTTCAAAAGTCCTCAACGGCGTCTACGGCTAAACCTGGTCATCTGCACGTTATCAACGAGGAGGCAACATTCAAATAGGCAGGGTGAGTAAAACGATTCATAATAATCAACGTAGAAAATCAACATATAAAATGATGTCATTTTCATATTCAACATCATCATATTCATTAATAGTCATCAAAGGCCACAACATCACAATTTACTCACAATCATCTCATAAATGCAAATGCAACAAGGCTCAATGTATGTGGTACCAATCATCACAGTTCGATGGACACTAGACCATCAACCCTCCATAGATCCCCATCAATAGGATCGATTCTACTCGAGAATCGGAGCACATCAAAATACCTCACATCCGCACAATGGGATTGAAGCCAAAGTAATCAAGGTCCTGAACCGAAGTTCGGACGCACATGAATGCATGATGCACACGTCAATAATCATCCTCATAGTAACATCATAGGTGCATCATCATTCATCAAAATCATCAGCATATATCATGTCATCATAGAATTCATCAAAACTCATGGTAATATCATCATAGTTCATCAATCATTACATCATAGGAATCATCATATAATCATGTACACATCACATAGAATTCACAGTCGTACTCATGTTAATTCATCAAAGAAATCACAGCATCAAAACATCAAGGCATCGCTGCACAGAATCATAATTCGCGGAACTCAACTACGTTCGCTAGCAAGTTCGCTAGGCGAGTCTGGGGCAAGTTTCTTCGATGTGCGAAGGATTCTTCGCAGTGCGAGTCTGAGACTAAATTGTTCGTTGTGCGAAGGATTCTTCGCTAGGCGAACGACGCGATGACAGCAAAACACTGTTACGCACTAAAACCTAAATCAACCCAAAAGTCCACACGATTCACTTCCCCTATGCCCCCAAAACATCCCTAAATCATCCATAAGGTCTTACGGCGATAAAGTCACAAAACCTGCGGTTTCTTAGGCCAATCTTGTATCATATTCACGCCCTAAATCTCAAATCTCCTACCAATTACCATACTCGTTAGAATTACTCACTATCTAATATTCCTGCAAGGTTAGACAAATATCAAATCAGAGTTTTTGCCACGAAGGCCTAGTTTCCTATAACCCGAATAAATCTCTACGGTCAAAATCTCAATAGTAGATTTAGGCCACGAAGGCCAAAGTTACTTTTTCTCATAATCAGCCTCAAACCCTTAAACCCTTAAATTGACCTTAAATACGTTGAATTTACACATGGAAAACAATGAAGGTAATACTCCCCATACCTTAATTGTCGACTCAAAGCCTTCACAAATATTTCAGAAAACCTTCCGAAGTTTTTGCCTCAATTCTTCCTCCTCAGAGCTCTGTCCTCGATTCTTTTCACGGTCTAACAAAATGAATTATAATCCCATCACAATTTCCTTTTTGTTAAACCTAGCCTTGGGCCTCACAATTGGGTTTTTCCAATATTACCCTCACTAACTCTTCTCAATTGTCAAATTTGCCCTTATTTAGCTTATATTTATTTTAATTAATAATAATATTAATATATCCATATTATATACTATTATTCAAAATAAATAACCCAAAATGCATCAATTTTCAATATTCCACAAAACCACCGAAAATCACCAAAATGCGAATATTCTTATTTAAATAAATTAAATAAATATTCCAATAAAATTTGGGGTGTTACACTAATCATATTATTATACTAATTTTGTGGAAAATTTCCTTCTCGCTCCCTATCTCTTTACTTTTGCGCTTTTATTTTTATCATATCATATCATGTTATTGTTTATACTTCCGGTCTTTTTTCCTTTGTCCATTTGAACCATATTTTGTTCAAAAAACATTAATAAATAATTAAACCTCTAAAAGCTTTGTTCTCATAAATCTTGTGGTTATGCTTGAGGATGAACCTAGACCTTTGACTTCTTGAATTATTCTTAGACTCGGAATTAGAATTAGGACTCTTTCCTTTTATGCTTGGATTATTATGGATTTGAGATCTTGACCTTTATTTGACTTTTGCTTATTGGCTTATGCTCAAGGTGGAAGGAATTCTTATTTGGCTTGCTATGGAGTTTGCAACCTTTTAGTTAGATCCTTCTTATCTCTAGCTCTTATTTTTCTTTCTTTGGTAGTCACTCTTTCTCCACCCTTTCTTCAATTTTCAAAATCTTCTCCCTTTTTTAAAACCTTCTTGTTTTCAATGTTAGACCTTTTTCATAATAAACTTTGACTTTGGACAAGTGATTTTTTTCAAACTTTGTTTTCTTTAATAAATGTCAACCAATGTTAATCATACTTTGACTAATTTCAAAAGACATAAAAAAATACTTAAACTCATTCAAACTTGTAGTGTCTTTGTGCACTTTTTCTTTTATAACTTTTCAACAAGTTTAGATATGAGTCATTTTCATAGTTGAGATGTAATTCTCTTATTCCCCATAGTATATAAGATGTTGACATTTTCCACTTAGATGTTGAGTGATAGACTTGTTGATTTTAATCCAAGCAAAACCCTTCATCTTTAGGTGATGCAAATGTTGTTTTATACTTGTAGGCGACTAGTCATAGTTTTCTCCTTAAAATGACGACTTATCTTTTCATTTAAAATGAATCAAACAAACCACTTTTGTTATTTGTACCACAAACTACGGGTATTGATCGTATGTTGCACTTTAATGAAGTTTCTCCTCTTGTAGAATTTTGGCTTCCAGATGGCACCACATCTATTGTCAGCCTGACGTCCAAGTTGAATGAATTGTTGTCTGATGCCAAACACAAAAAGGTTTTATTTAAGATGTTTATTCACCACCCTCTTTAGACCGTTGAATACTTTATATTTTCTCCCGACATTTTGTAATCATGTTTGGTTGGGGTGTTTATCAATTTTTGAATTTTATTTGTATTCTCAGAAGTTTTCTAGGTACTTGTGATCTGGAATTATCTTCATATTGGTGTCTTTCACCTTTCTTATTATTAATTAATAAATTATTTTTCCATTAAAAATAAAATATCTCACACTTTAAGAGAGGTAAATGCATATGTAGGTAGATTAGTTAGTGCATATTTTTTGTTGACTATTATTGCAACTGCGAAAAACAACCGGCGGAAAAAAAAAATAGAAGAGTCGCCATCAAACGTTATTGATCTTGACGGAGGAAAGAAAACGGTCGAAGAAAATCTCAAAAAGAAAGAAGACATTAGACATGGTCTTACAACCAAATCCTGAGTTCGAGAGTCGGTTACACGAGAGGAAGGTATTAACACTCTCTCGCGTCCGTTATACTCAACGGAATCCATGCTTGTTGTTCTAATCAAAGGGTGTGTTCATCTAAAGTCTATATGCAAACAGACACAAAAAGAAAAAAAAACAAAAAGGAAACTCGATAGGACTTCTTCATCCTAGGCCTACGTATTCCCTCGTGCAATAGAAAAGTCAGAGTCAACATAGTTCAGAGTCCTGTTGGTGAATGGGGGTATGCCTTGGTGTCAAGATATATATATATATATATATATATATATATATATATATATATATATATATATATATATATATATATATATATATATATATATATATATATATATATATATATATATATATATATATATATATATATATATATATATATATATATATATATATATATATATATATATATATATATATATATAAAAAAAATTGTCCACAAAATGACTTAGATAAGAGTTTTTTTTTTAATTTAAAAAATGGGGGTATGCGAACAATACAATATTATAAGCAAATTGTCATCCCTAAAATCTAAATACAATCTTCATCTAATGTTTAATATATTACTTTATTTAATGAGTTGGTAGATTAACCGATCGGGCCGTCAAACTTTTTTTTCAATTTAATTTATATATTTATAGTATTTTAATAATGTATTAGTACTTTATGGGATTTTTTTACTGTTTTATCTTATATTTGGAAAAAATATACTCTCATTTTGTCCTAATTTGAAAAAAAAAACATTTTTTCTTTGTTTGCTCGGCCAATAGAAGAAAGAATAATTGTACGAAATTTTTTCATGTGTGTGCTCGGCCAATCACAAGCACACACAACACAAAAATAAAATATTTAACATACTCAATTATTTAATGATCGAGCACAACAACACAAAATTTCGTGCAACTGCTCTCCCTTCCATTGGCCGAATTGACAAAGAAAATAGGGTAGAACAGTAAAAAGAAGTCACTTTATGATTTGTTTAACAGTGTGTAATCAGTTTTTTAAAACGTGCTCTATGGTTGTTTAACTTGTGTAATCATTTTTTTAAAGCGTGCTCTATGGTATAACGTGTGTAATTATTTTTCTTTTAACGTTTCTATGGTTTGTTTAAACGCGTGTAATAATTGAGTTGTGCTGCTATGCCCTACACTCGTTGACCCAACTACAACTATGATTTTTGACTTCAAAGTTACATAAATATATAGAAACCATTATGATAACAGATAAAAATACAGAAAACTTGTCGCAGACATCAGCATAGCTACATCCATAATGGTAGTGCCATCAAAGACTAACAAACACTGCATCTGCATATCATCTTTCCACCCCTTCTTTCTCTTTATCCTTGTCAATTTCATAACCTCTACAGCAAGGAACGATGACACTTTCACGCCATCTTGCTCACTCGGCTATGAAACCACTCCAAATAGTGTCTTTCAAAGGAATCTCAAAACTCTTTTATCATATTTATCTTCCAACGCTACTGCCAACAAAGAATTCTACAACACCACAGTAATAGACAAAAACAACTCCTCCAACACAGTCTATGGTTTATTTATGTGCAACGGTGATGTACCTGCTCATCTATGTGGTCAGTGTGTCACAAATGCGACCAGTTACAACTTATCTTCATACCAGAACATTGATTGTTCCTTGTCCAACGAGGTTACGATAATGAATGACGATTGCATGGTACGATATTCCAACAACTCTTTCATCACTGTTGACTTAAGTCTACATTCTGAGTCCTGCCACTTTATCATAATGTCAAACCAAGCAACATTCAAGTTTTCAGTTTCTGAAACATTGAATGGAGTGGCAGATGAGGCAGCCAGTTCTTCAATTGGCGTCAAGAAGTATGCAACAAAAGAAGTAGCTTTATCTGAAATTCAAACCATTTATTCTCAAGCTCAGTGCACACCGAACCTTTCGCCACTAGATTGTCGGAAATGTCTGAATACAACCATAACAGATTTTCTTGACATTTGTGAATATGAGAATAACGTAATAAGAGCAGGATACTCTCGAGCATACAGCTGTTACATCAGAACTGATGTGTACCCTTTTTATCGCCCTAGTAATGCTACAACCCCACAAGAACTCATTCCAGCTTCCAATACAATTGATTCAAAATACTCACAACAACCTTCTTATCTTTCCCACAATTGTTCAAGCAAAACCATGAACTATGATTTTCAATCACATCTCACAACATTATTCTCTTCTTTGTCTTCAAATGCCATCAAATATAGTTTTTTCAACATGTCTGTGGACACAGCCCATGGCCTTTTTATGTGTCGTGGTGATATATCCCTCTCCCCTGCCCTGTGTCAGTTATGTGTCCAAGATGCAATCAAAAGAATATCATCAGAATGCCCTTCCTCCAAAGAAGCTGTAATTTGGTACGATAAATGCTTACTCCGTTATTCCTATCACTCTCTCCATTCAGATATTGATACAGCCGCGCCTAAATTTCACCAATTCAATATTGCCAACACTTCTCACCTCAACATGCTGCAAAGCTTCACTAATTGGAAACTAGCAGATATTTTATCTGAAGTGCCAAATTTGGAGACAGGAGATAGTAGTATAAAGAATTATGAAACAAGATCGGAAAAATTGAATGATCATCAAACCATTTACACTCTTGCTCAATGTACACCAGATCTGTCTGATGGGAAATGTCGCTATTGCTTGCAAACCATTTTCGAAAACGAAATTCCTTGGAATAGTTTGGCAAGTCCAGAGGGGAGAATTCTATATCAAAGCTGCTATATGATGTTTGGCTTGTCCCAATTCTACAACAATGGTGATGAACCAGAGGAGTTAGGGCATGTTAATCCTCCTCCAACTAAAGGTGACGTTTCATTCAATTATTATTACTTGCACGACTCAATTCAAGTAATATTAACTAAAATTGAAACAATTTTTTATGACTGTTGTGGATTAACAATTTTTTTTGGTATTTTTGAAACACATGTTCATCATTTGTGCAGAAAATGAAAAAAGAAAGACGCGAACGATCATAATTGTTGTCCCTACCATCCTTTCAACATTACTGCTAACATTTTCCTGCTATTTATTAAGGAAAAGAGCAAGAAAGAGCAGTTATAAAACCTTAATTCTAAGAAAAAATTGTAAGTATTATGATTGAAATTTTGTAAAAGCTGGAAAAAAATGTCAATTAATTCATATTGCTTTAACAATTCAAACATATTTGTGTAGTCGGTCACGAAAGTACCACTTTGAAGGGTTTGCAATTCGAAATGACCGAAATTAAAACAGCAACAAACAGCTTTTCACATGAAAACAAAATTGGCGAAGGTGGATTTGGACAAGTTTACAAGGTGAGCAAACATGACAAAGTTTCTTCATATTACTCTATGACAATATGACAAAGTTATTTGCATAAATGATGGTTTGTTTTCTAATTAGGGAATTCTTTCTGATGGAAGACACGTAGCGGTTAAGAGGCTCTCATCAAGTTCAAATCAAGGCATAATTGAGTTCAAGAATGAAATTTTATTGATAGCCAAGTTACAACATATAAATCTTGTGGCATTAATAGGTTTTTGCCTAGAAGACCAAGAGAAGATTCTTATTTATGAATATGTGTCAAATGGGAGCCTTGATTACTTTTTATTTGGTATGACGTTTCAACTCAACCTCTTTTATTAGTTAATTAGAAAAGTTATGCATGCTTTTAACTTGATGCAATATATCTTAAGCTAATACAAGTGATTGATTACAAAACATATCTTTTTAGTTTTTGATTCATTCAATAAAATGTGCAGATACTCAACAACAATGTTTAAACTGGGATGCACGTTACAAAATTATAGAAGGCACGGCTTTAGGAATTCTTTATTTGCATGAATATTCTCGTCTCAAAGTCATACATCGTGATCTTAAACCAAGTAATGTTCTATTAGATGAAAATATGAATCCTAAAATATCAGATTTTGGCATGGCTAGAATGGTTCAAATAAATCAGGACCGTGGACATACAAACAGAATAGCTGGAACATGGTATTGTTTTAAATTATTGCCTATATTTTTTTAGTCAAATATATTTTTCATTGCAAAAAATATAACTATTCTTGTTTTTATTTCCAACAAAAACGTCCTTCAAATATATTTGTCTCTCAAATATTTTTTGTTTTTAAACTATAATAAAACATGTCCAATGAAAGCTCACATGGGAAGTGATTTTTTTAATGATATGACATTGTTAATGCCTTAAAATATTAGTCTTAATAAATTAATCATTTAATCTTTAATGTTTTTTTTTAAATTGAATTATTAAAGATTAAATTAATGATATTTTAAGTAGGGGGTGATAAATAAGTTGGATCTGTAGTTCGGCCAGTTTAACCCATCATTTGTAACAGGCGAGTTGTAATTTTGAGTTGTCATTAAAAAAGCATGTGGCACTTGCATAAGACAAATGCTACTATAGCTAAAAAACGAAAAACAGAGGTTTGAAGGAAATTTTTGTAGCGAGTAAAACTATAAGTTGACACATTTATAGGAACGAAAAAACATATTTAACTCTTTAGTTTTCATCCCTAAGCTTTACTTCTTTCTAACTTATACCTTATTATCATAGGGGTTACATGCCTCCAGAGTATGCAATGCATGGACAATTTTCAGAGAAGTCAGACGTTTTCAGTTTTGGTGTTATTATTTTAGAGATTATTACTGGAAAAAGAAATATAAGTCCTTGTGATCCAGATCATGTTGCTGAAGGCCTCACAAGTTATGTGAGTATCTTAACCTAGTTAGTCGATTGAAGTTTATTTAAATTGAGAAAAGTTTGATGATTTGATTATTTAATTTGATAAAATCTACAGGTATGGAGACAGTGGAAAAATGAAACACCATCTATCGTATTGGATTCAAAAATAGAAAATTATTCTCTTATTGAAGTTATTAAGTGCATACAAATTGGTTTGTTATGTGTTCAAGAAAATCCAAATGTCAGACCAACAATGTCAACGGTTGTTTCATATCTCAACAGTCATTCACCAGAATTGCCATCACCACAAGAACCAGCATTTTTCATACACAGCAGAATGAATCAAGAAGTAACAGCTCAAATGGAATCAAGTTCTACCAATAACTTTGAAGCATTTTCTGTTAACGAGATGTATATAAGTGAATTTTATCCTCGACGATAGGTCAATTCATTTTCATTAAACATATACTTGTTTTGAGTGAATTTTTATAAATAAGAATAGGATAATGCTAACTTGTGCCCTTGGGGCACAAGTTAAGAATTAAATTAAGAAATATTGTCTTGAAAATTGTGTATAAACTTTAATTAAAATATAAGATTAATTTTTAAATTGTTTTTTCCAATACAAATTTACTATAAGTGGGTTTTTTAACTTGTGCCCTTAGAGCACAAGTTAGCATTACCCATAAGAATAAATATGTTTTTCTTTTTTATAAATATATATCAATTTTTGTTTAGACTTAACAAAATTTCTTCAAACTTTCAAGTCTACATATTTTCTGTTACCAATTTATCCATCTTTTAACTATAAGTCTCACAGTAACTTTTTTTTTCAATGACATGATATGGCAGAGACTTAAAATATCGTTAATTGAATAATTCAACTACTTAATATATGGTTGAAGAAGTTGGAGGAGTTAAAATTCTGGGTTTCAAACTGACCAAGGATTAAATACTAATATAACTAATATCTACATTTACTTATTCAAAAATTAATTAATTAATTAGAATTGTGATTCTCTCTTAATGAGTTTGTCTATCCTCTTCCCATAGAGAATTTTGGTGTATTTTAACTATTTGTAATATTTTTATTTGGAGTAACCATCATAAAGGTAATTCCCGAAAAAAACAAAAACAAGTTAATCATGAAGATATCAAGATAAGGACGATGATAACGAAAATCAAAGAACACCATATATAACAAAATGCAATAGTGATAATATGTGCAAATTGGAATGGGTAAAACATATACTTACTGATTTTCGCCACCATCTGACTTGAATTGCAGAACTTAAATCCGGAAGACATTTGCTTGAAACTCATAGTTGGAGGTATCTGCATAAACAAAAAGGCATTTTTTTTTTTACAATTTCATTAGACTGCTCATTTAACATTACAACATTGTTGGTCAGCTTCAATTGACTTCTTCGCTATCAAGATCGCAGTAAAAAAAGAAAATGCATTAACTCATAAAGCAAAATGTGTGTGAATATTCTAAGAGACATTTTATCAAACAGTTGTTGGGTGTAAAGCATGGTCAGAAAAATCAAACAAGATTGTCATATACACTGATGTTAGAGAAATTACCTTGATGCAACTCGTCTACTAAACAATTTGAATTCCAAAATGTAAATGCAGCGAATTCTCCACTCAAAAACGACTAAAAGTAAACATTGTCGAGGTTTTATCAAGAAACAGCTGCCATCAAAATGCAATAACCATAGACCCCAACAATGGAATTTTTTATAATTTTTAATTATCAAACAAAATATATTTTCAAAAATATTACCAAAATAACAAAGTTTCGTTTTGCTTCAACATGCGTTCGTCAAATCAATTGGCGAATTGGACCAATTCTTCATTCAAGCATTTCGTCAAATCAATTGGCGAATTATTATTATTATTATTATTATTATTATTATTTAAAGTTTAAAATTTGATTATTTTTTTTTATCATTTATTATTATTATTATTATTATTATTATTATTATTATTATTATTATTATTATTTAAATTTTAAAATTTGATTGTTTTTTGATTATCATTTTTTATTATTATTATTATTATTATTATTATTTAAAGTTTAAAATTTGATTGTTTTTTGATTCTATTTTTTTGATTGTTTTTATATTTTATTTTTAATGTATTTATATTTTGATTTTGATTTTAATTTTAATTATTTTTTATATTACTAATAAACTTAAAAAAATTAAGTTTAAAAGTTTAAATTAATTAATAAAATTATAAATTTAAAATAAATTGGTTTAATGTTAAATTGACCAGCTTGGGTTTTAAACTTCCCTTATATATATTTGGGGTGGCATTTATCAATGGATGTATAGTCAATCCAGTAGTTTAATGTCTTACCATTTTGTCCAAAAAAACTATAGTAATTTTGTCTAAAAAACTATAATAATTTTGTTTAAATTTATAATTTCATTAATTAATTTAAACTTTTAAACTTAATTTTTTTTAAGTTTATTAATAATATAAAAAATAATTAAAATCAAAATCAAAATATAAATACATTAAAAATAAAATATAAAAACAATCAAAAAAATATAATCAAAAAACAATCAAATTTTAAACTTTAAATAATAATAATAATAATAATAATAATAATAATAATAATAATAATAATAATAATAATAATAAAATGATAATCAAAAAACAATCAAATTTTAAACTTTAAATAATAATAATAATAATAATAATAATAATAATAGTAATAATAATAATAATAATAATAATAATAATAATAATAATAATAATAATAATAATAAATGATAAAAAAAACAATCAAATTTTAAACTTTAAATAATAATAATAATAATAAAAAATAATGATAATAAAAAAACAATCAAATTTTAAACTTTAAATAATAATAATAATAATAATAATAATAATAATAATAAAATGAACAACGAATTTGAAACCCTACAAATTAGTCTACAAATTAGCCTCATTCGCCTATTGAGAAGGCGAACTTGAAACCTTTAGCCTAATTCGCCAATTGATTTGAAAATATTTTTGAACGCAATTTGATAATATTTTTGAAAATATATTTTGTTTGGTAATTAAAAATTATAACTGTGTTAGTTTTAAAAAAAAATCCCAACAATGAGTTTAATTTGAACGCAATTTTGTATTTTATTTCACCATAAAAAAAGTTAATTTTTTCATATAATTTAAGATAAGAAAAAGAAATTTTATTTAATTTGAAATGGAGAGACTATTTTTTTTATTTGGTATGACATTTCAACTCGACCTTAATTAGAAAAGTTATACATGCTTTTGTTTTATTAGATAAAAATATAAATTTTAAAATATCAGATTTTAGCAGGATTGATTCAAATCAGGATCGGTTCAATTAATTTAGAGATCATGTTTAATTATAAAATTAAATTTAAATTTTTTATAAAAAAATTATAATTTCAATAATTAAAAATAATATATAAAAAATACAACTGTATATTAACTAAATAAAATATACCCATACGTAAGGTATAATTATAAAAGTGCTCTAAATATGTTAACTGTATAATTTAATTTTTACAAAATGGTATAATTATAAAAGTGCTCTAAATAAAAGATGTCAAGTTAAATCTTCTAAAACTTTCTACACATACGTTAAGGGCGGACCAGAATCAAGATTGTGGATATGCAAACAAAATTAGAAAATATTATCCCATATCCCTATACTAAAAAATTTTAAACCAATGTACCCTTAAATAAATAGTTATATTTTTCAGTGTACTAGTGTTCTGGTTTGTAGTCTTCTAGTTTGTACATATTTGTCCGAAAGTGTATTAGTGTTCCGATTCTTCTGTTTTTGCATACCGAAACTCTCTTCAAATGTATTCCGATTTTGTACATTTTGTAATCCGAAACTCCTTTTTAATGTGTTTTGGTTCGTCATTTTGAATTTTTTTTTAATGTTTTTTATTCAGTGGCGCGAACAGGAGGCAATAAGATTTCAGATCGTGGTTTAGAACGGGAAATCTCATCGAGATTGCCTGGTGAAGAAGAGCATATTGGTTCATCTGCATTCGCAGCACAATCAATTGACTTTTTAAGAGGATCGTACGATACATCTCTTTTGGTTAAGTACGAGCAACATATTATTAGACATGTATGATTTGGTAAGGTAAGTGAACGACATATATTAAATATTGAATAATATTTGAATTTTAAATGTTGTGTTTTATAACATTCGTACTTTTAATTGTTGTGTTTTAGAGGTGTGGCTCGAATAATATTTGAACTGAAATCTGAAAATGATAGCATCGTGTTGCTTTCATTATTCATGTTTCCATATGTTTTTATTATTAAAAAAATGCATGTCATTATAGACTTACCACGTCAACTTCTGTCGGCGACATAAAAAATGGAAATATAAACAATATCTTATAGAATTAAAAATATATTAAGTTTTAATTTTAATGATAAAAATAGTGATTAGTCCTGGAGTGAAAGTTACAATGTGAGAGTGTGTTTAAGACGTAAATCAAATTAGTAAGAAAATATAAAACGATAAGCTTTCTAGAGTTTGGTGGCAAAGTTTGACTAAAATGTATTCTTAATATCTTAATCATTAAAAAAACACGTAGATTCTTATCTATCCATTAAAAAATTGGACAAAATTATCCTATTAAATTGTTAAAAGCTGAATGGTCTATTTGGTTAAAAACTACATAATGATTGAAATTTTTTCATCTAATTGTTCATTCGTATCTATATAAAATAAGAGCTACTTGAGAGTTAGAATTTCTCCAATATGACATTTTAGTCTCTCTTTCTCATAATAACAACTTTAAAAAGCTAATTAGGTAGAAAAGGACTTCTTGTCACATGTGTTCGTTAAAAACTAGTGATTGATTAGAATTTTATCAATCACACCGTTCATTCATGCCTGCCTAATTAGAATAATAGTCAATTTATAGTTGGAATTTATATAATAAAACGTTGTAGGGTATGTTTATTTCTAACTTATAAAGATGATTTTTTTTTTCTTTAAAAACAGATTTTATAAAAAGGTTTTTTAAAATATTATTAATTTTGTATAATTCTTTTAATTGAAAAATTAACTTTAACATTCTATAACAGAAATATACATTATTAAATATTAAAAGATAGTTGAAATCACAATTTTTTAAAAAAATATGTTTAAAAATAATTTTTATGAAAAATTATTTTAAATAGTTTTAAAATTAAGTGATTTTTTTTTAAATTTTAATATCTAAACTTTTTTTAATAAAATATTTAAAATAATATTTTAAGAATAACTATTTAAATCAAATTTTTATTTAAAATCTTTATAAAAAATTTTATTTTTATTTTTTTTATACTAAATTATATTAAACTATAAATATCATTTTTAACAAAGTTAAAACAAACTGACCCTTTAATCTCTCCTTATTATAATAAAAATGATTTTATGAA